GTCTAGTGGGGGTCTACAATTTTTTGAAAATTGCGTCCAGATTTGGACGCAATTTCTGTTCGTTTAAGGGATAATTAATTACAAGAAGATGTCAAGGTGGCACACTGTTGAAAAGAAACATTTTAAATATGAAACAATTCAATATGCAATGTTTGATTATCAGATGTTGAAGCATGCACACTACCTTGAACATTACAGTCATTCTCTCATCTTCCTAGTGTGCACAAGGCTAATCTGACTTGTGACCCCTCAATGATATGATGATGCAACTGAATTCCAGGGGAGGGACACAATGCCCTGGAGTTTACTGGGACTGCACCAATTGTCAATGACGTTTTCACAATCTTCCCTTGCAGCACCCAGACTGCTGGCATGTTGGCTGAAAAGTTGCCCACAATGATCCTGTCCCTAGGATAAGGAATATTAAGAGAATCTGCAACTTGTTTCAAGCACAGGTTACAATTCAGAGCAGGGCTGGTGGCCCTGAAATTGCATTTGGGCTCTGATGTTAGGAGGAAGGCTGTAAAATAAAATGGTTCAGATTTTGTTTGGTATGTTGTGTATAAATTAATTATTTTCATAAATTTTCTGTTTCTCTTTAATTTTCAGGACTATCCATTAAAGGTTCTGGAACAGGCTCTAATTTATTTTTTAAAAAATTATCATTTAAAATAATAAAAAATTTTTATTATAAATTTTATTTACCTTGTTGTAATTTAATTAAAGCAAGCTCTAATATTTATATTGAGATTGTTTGATGGTAAGCTAGAATTGAATTCATCAAAATTATTATCATCATCATTTGGTGATGAATCTAATTCATCAGGATTTTCTAATTCAATTTGATCAGTTTTTGTAACTTGACTTTCCAATCTATCATTGTAAAAGGATGATAATACATCAATTCCATCTACAAGATAATCTAAACAATAATGACATTTAAAACCCATCTTTTGAAAACACTCATTATGATACCCATGATCACATATTAGAACTTTTCCATAAAGCTGTAATTGATCAATTTCTATATTAATATCACAATCTTTTGCATCACAAAATATGTTGGGTTTGGAGGACTTTTTGTGTGATATCCTAGGTAAAGTCCCTATTTTCATAATTTCATTTAATACAAAAAACTTATGACCAGTTGATTTAATTGATCTTGTTATAGATTGTGGTGCATGTTGTGGAGATGTTGAATTAGACCAAATTTTTTGAAAGGAAAAGAGTTGTCTGTTTTACCATAATATAAATATTTTTTTTAGTATATTGCGAGCATGCAATCTGAGTTTCCTAACTAATAGGTTATTTATAGCTCAACACACAGCCTACTCGCTGACTTACAGTTGATTCTATTGTTTGACACACAGCCTACTCACTGACTTACAGTCAAGTTTCCTTTAACTATATATATATGACACACAGCCTA